AGTAGTGTCCCGTGTAGCTCGTCACGCCGAAGCTAACGGACGATTTTGATATCGTCAGCAAATAAAAATGACGTACCATGTACTACAGATGTGATGATGTCATTGGTGGAGAGCAAAGAGTGAGGGGCCGAGCACGCTCCTTTGAATGACCCCCCTGATGATTCAGCGTGGAGAAGAGCGATAAGCACCTAAAGTGACTACCTGTTCCCATCAGACATGAGCTAAGCAACGAAGGCAGCGATGGTTGAACTTAACAAACATCTCTATGTCTGTCGAATTGATGGGCCAGGTTACGCAACCGTACAGGAGGGTTAAAGGATGACTGCACTATAAACTCTGCCCTTTAGAGCGAGAGTGATGTCACACCGACACCACAGTTGGCAGGGATTATCAAAAGCGCCTCGAGCTTCTGCTATACGGTTGACGAGCTCATCTTCGATCCCACGAGCTGCCCCAGTACTTAAATTTCTCGACGACTTCTAGCTGATTACGGCCAAGGGTCGGTGCAGGAGTGGGTCCCTGCCAGTCTTGGAGGACTGCATTTTGAGGGTGCAAAGCATAGCACGAAACGAGTGACAACGGAAGCGCTTTTATCCAAAGCAGCTTTGCAAGCTTGGGACTTGTCACAGATAAGCGGAGTGTTGTCGGCACACTCCAAGTTAAAAAATCGCTCACCAAGAAGCAACGCCGTACATTGTAGGTCGTGCGCAGTGAACGTAGTTTTCATGACCAGGTCAGTGGAGAAGTTAAAGAAGAAAGGTGCCAGCGAGCAATCTCTCACTTTGTTCGATATATCAAACGGCAGCGGAAGTTTGTTATAATCCTTCACGCTGCCCGAAATATGCGTGTACAGCGCTCTGATCATGTTTACAAATGGACGACCTAGTAAAGGACATAACTTTCGTGCGTCGCTAAGAGATCATATTCTTGCATTCGGACGCTCGGTTAGAAAGCATCTTCGCACACACGTCGACATCGAGCGCTTGGAACAGAGCTGATCAAGTCTGAGAAAAACTAAATGTGGGTTCGTTCTTCTTCCGTTTGTCAGTTTAATGCCGGTTGGATAAACAAGGGTCACATGTTTCAAATGACACGGTGAAAAATAGTTGAGGAAGTAAGGAGCCGGACAAGAGTGAGGAAGTCTGTTCGTTCTTGGGTACGTTGTCCTACAATTTCCGTTTCTTGCCTGATGCATTTGCGGCATTATCTCCACGAAATCAGCTGTTGCCCAAATTTGTACTACGGTGTCGCGGTACTACTTAGAGAGGTACCGTCAAGTGGGCACCCAATACAACATCAAGGTTAGTGCATCATGACAAAATTAGCCAACCGTCCTTCAGCGTGACGCGTCCCAGAGGGGAGGTAAGGAATGGTCCGTGCAAAATTCACAACAATTTTCCTTAATAAATATGAAATCATCTGGATCAGACTTCCACTGTCTTTAAGGCCCTGCGTGTACCCTCGTGTGTTACCTGATGGAATGAACGAATTTCTCACGAGAAACAAAGCACCTGTCCTGGTGTTGCAGATTGGCTCACTCAACCGTCACTTCCCAATGGGCTGAAGTATCTGTCCTTCGAATGTCCAATGGGCGATAGTAGATTAAATTTGGATGTTTGTGAGTAGGGTAAAGGTTGTAGAAAGTAGAAGTCACGATTAAAATTCACGCACAATATTGTGCCTTGACGGGGCATCGATCCCCGGTCCATGAATTTCCGGTCCGCTGCTCTACCACTGAGCTACCGAGGGCTGACGATTAGGTGCGCAAATTTTAATACATGACTTCTGCTTGGTGCGCGACGTATTGCCAATGGGCTCACTCTACAATCTTTACCCTACTCACAAACATCCAAATTTAATCTACTATCGCCCACTGGACATTCGAAGGACAGATACTTCAGTCCATTGGGAAGTGACGGGTGAGTGAGCCAATCTGCAACACCAGGACAGGTATTGTGAGCCCATTGGCAATACGTCGCGCACCAAGCAGAAGTCATGTATTAAAATTTGCGCACCTAATCGTCAGCCCTCGGTAGCTCAGTGGTAGAGCAGCGGACCGGAAATTCATGGACCGGGGATCGATGCCCCGTCAAGGCACAATATTGTGCGTGAATTTTAATCGTGACTTCTACTTTCTACAATAGAAACAAAGCCGTTGAGCTATTCAGGATAAACTGGTCAGAAGAAGAGGCCTATCGGATATATCCAAATGGCCAAATATAATGTGCACTGAAAAATGATAAGCACAAGCAAAACCGAGTCAGATTAACGACGAGCACACTTCAACTATTTTTCTATTCACTTTTGCCTACACCTCTTTATTTTCGTCTCATGTATCCCCCACAATTACAATCAATTGGTGCAAACACTAGCTCACTGGAACGTCGGACATTAGAGCCCCTGTGGCCTCCCCTTCAACTCTGGAACTTACTATTAAACTACCGTATTAGGTAGCAGCAATATCCATGGCTGGCGAGTATAAACACTGCCACAACAGCATGAAGAACACCAGCGCCTTAGCTTTCATCCATTTAGATTGCTTTGACACACACTTTCAGGCTTTCGTTTTACCAAATATTTCCTCCGTTCTTGTTTTTACCGATACTGCTTTTATCATAAGTCATTTGCGATTCAACGAACTGTTATTCGCTTTTTAATTTTGGCACGGAACTGTTCAAACCGGTCGCGTGAAGAAATACGGTTTGGTCGGGAACTTTAACGCAGCGATGTGTTTTCTTGAAAGAACTCGCTCCATGAAGCATCACTGGATTCGACAATAGGTATGCTCGACAGAAACAACTTTAATGAAGCTAGCGTGAAATATTTCAATTCACTACGATCAGGTCAAGTGTGATGAACTGAATCTCATCTCATGGAGAACCGACATATTTGTTATTATTGTTTTGGATTCCTCATACTTAGATTCGTCACTATTTCATTGTTCTCAACGACTGGGCTGGTCTCTTTAGGTGATGGATTGATGCTTCCGGTCTAATAATTATACCCATGCCACTGGCAACTAAAAATAAGCCATGCTCAAAATGGGCTGAATAACCGAATGAGCTGGATGGCTTCACAGCCCGTAAATTATGCATATAAAGAGGCCTAAATATGTATAAAAGAGATGCAGGCGTACATACTACTACGTCACGCCGGCACATGGTCAGATGGAGCATGAAATTGCGGATAAAACGTTTCAAGGGAATACCCTACATAAAAGCAGGTTCCCAAGAAACGGTTCCACGGACGGCCGCAGTAATTTACTTGAACATTTTGCCACGTCTTCAATTGTGGTTCTTTCCAATTTATCAAGCCCTTTGATATATTCAACTTCAATTCACCCGAAATTCGTTTATAAACCGCGTTGAATAACGCGCGGTCAGTTATTTTGTGTGATCGTGATTTATCTATTTGATCAGCCCATTTAGTTGGACCGTGTTTTGCGCTGTCGATAAATATACCATCCAGTAGTAGTAGAATGGTGCATCATACTTCTGAATAGTGTAGCCAGATGTAATGCTATGAGTAGAAAACTATGGATAGAACCAAATGAAAACGAAATAACACTGTTCAACTGAACAAGTAGCCATCATCTGCTTTTCACGCGGACGCAAGTGGCGCATGAATGGTAATTCAAATAAGAGAGGAAATTGGGGGAATCCTTGCACATGAAAGCTTTCGGTATTACCGAGTAGTTCAAATTGCTCGTCGTAAATATGGTCAGGCTAACACGTCAGACACAAAGTCATGGTCAACAATCTATCTGAAAGACGACAAACAACGGTCGCACCGGGACCGTTCGTATGCGCAAAACGGACTGCCAGTTTGCCGAAGAAAGAATAACAAAAACTCACATCGCGATCGCGCTCAGTGGCATACGTTAGTAATTATCACGACCACTAAGGAACCCCGCATAAAAAATGTATCAGCAGTACGCCGGTACGCAGTATCGATGCATCGCTTCAACGCAACCACCAGTCGAGCGAGGGCTAGGGATACTGCGAGATTCGCCCACTCCCCTACACAGACTCGAACCCGCGACCCTCGGGCTGCAAGACAGACGTCTTGTCCTTCCGGCCACGGGTCGGCTTGTACAGTCGCAAGCACAGTGATTTGCACTTTCGCTATCTGTATGGTGATGATTCGGTCGTTGATGTGTTGAGCGGGTGCCACTGGTAGTTGTCAGTACCGAATTTAATATTCCGTTGCATAGCACCGTAGTTCACTGTAGGATTTATTTTAATCTGATCCGGCGGTTCTACGCGTTGCTGTCCAAAGCAGGGTTGTCTCTTAAACCACTGGGGGGGGGGGTTCTTCGCCATGTCAACAAGTGTATCCAACCAAACGCGTTCACCATCTCTCTGGATCCAACCAGACAACCAAGAGGCTCAAAACGAGGTCGACTTGCAAGTGAGGATCATCATTCCTCCCGAACACGTCATTAATTGGCATCCCCTCCTCTTCTTCCATCCACACCCCGGTCGCGCAAACAACGCATACTGCGGGAGTCGGCATGCGTAACACCTGACCCATCCACCAGTGATGAGCGGTTCATCAACTCTTCCAGCGCAATAAACAAAGTGCCAAACATGATGATTACTCACACGGTGTTCGCCCAAGATTTAAGGTAAGCTGTGAGGGCACAGGTTGTCGAATGCAACTAGGCGTTTTACATGTGCTGATCTGATGAGACAAGTTTCTCAACGGTATAGGAAGGCTGAACGAACGAGTGCACTGTCCACTCAACCCTTAGGGATGAAAGCGACGATTAACTTCGTTGATATTCGGACCGAACCATGCTTTTCGACCTAATGTACTATTAAAGCGAAAAGAGAATTAAGTCAGTGGAAGAATTTAATGTTACTTCCAAGCGAATGAGAAACAAATACTACCATTCACACGTGGTGGAGAAGAGGACACTATTCCGAGAGGCTTTACAAAGGCATAAATTCTCGTACAATCGATATATACATGTAATCTCGAAAACGGTTTGATATCGATCAGTAGACAGAGGTATCGCATTCAACGGTTTGAATTATTGCATCCGAGTGGCCACACACGAGCTGAGTGTTGGTCATATCGAAGGAAATTACATCCTGGATCGAGGTCCCACCTGGAAGAACGGGTGCCACTGAGAGTTTGCGACGAGACCCCTTGAACCCTGTCCAAGAATCTGGTAACAAGCAAGAGTAGATGTGGAAGGTAGTATACACATGACTAGGCATTGAGAGCGAAAAGCAAAGGACAACAGGGCAGCTGTGGCCATCAAACCATACTAAAGTCAGTGCAATCACGGTGACTAACCCCGCGAATGTAAACATGGCGTATGACAGGGACTTGGCAAACCAAGAAACCACAGCCACGGTAGGATAGCGTGTGTTACTGAATCCTCAGGACATTCGGCACGCAGCCACAATGTGACAGGGTGTAGTCTATTGTAGAGGGTACGGTAAAAAGAAAAATGGCATGAACACATTAAATACACAAACACCTAGAAACCTGTTATGATCGCGGTTACTAGGGCGTAGAACCGTCAGAACAAAGACTTTCATCGCACCGGACAGTGTATTGACCAGATATCAAGTCACATGAAACAGGCAAGACAACCGACAATATCGGTTAAGGTGAGAGTGTGTGTCAGACAGGCCGCCTCACATAATCGGCGGCTTGATGCATATGAACCAGAACAGAGCAGTAGATGAGAATGAAGTTCACGGCCAAGGGAGTAGGACGACGTTGTAGTTTTGAGGCACCGGGTCGCCTGGCGTTTATCTTTTATCTTTTGAATCATACCCGGTAACGTACACATCAAACACAAGAATCAAAAGTTATCGGCACAGACGACATTATTTGAAAACGGAGGTGAAACCTTTGCGACATGCGATGTGTTAAAAACGGACGTATTGTGACCATTGCTTTGGTAATGTTTAGCTTGATGGAAGTTGATTAGAATAGTCGAAACTGCTCGGACGAATTAGTTCACTGGAGAATACTGATGCAGTTCTATGTCACCAAAGGAGCGCGAAAAACGATGTAGCAAACTATCGTTCAATTAGCCACATCTCGATTCTGCTTCAAGTCACGAAGAAGGCTGTAAAGTAAAGAAAACACCTGAATTTCTACTCTCTAAAAGCTTGTTAGCTCGGCGCAGTAAGTTTCCATGAAGTATGCTTGTTTCCAGTCATGACACCTGAAACTATCAAATTCCATCACAAAATCTGTCGAGAAGATAAACCCTACGTTGATATAGTATCGATGTGCAGGAAGCCTTTAACCAGTTACCGCATGACATTTTTGGTTACCTTGTAGGAGCTTTAACTTATTTTGCTATTTTTAGCTTATTTCTTTTCGCACAGAGAAGATACTAGCCACAATCATGTGACTCTAACCACATCATTCAAAAGCTATTGATGTGTATACAATCAATGGACAACTTACTTTGAACTCTGGCTTATACCATCTAGCTAACCACTACCTGTGTTTTCCCTGTGCAATCTTTCTGCCCTACTGTAGTAGTGTATTTCGGGAGCCTGCCAAAATATATCATTGGGATACCAACAACATTTTATTTCTAACATCCAGTAAGGACAACGGGACATGGCTATTTTCGGACTCCGCACCTAAGCAGCGCTCCTCCTCCTCATCATCATCATTACACGTTAGCTGGAGGTGGAAAACACCTCAGCTATTGTGCCGCAATACAAAAGGCAAGAAAAGAAAAAACAAACAAACAGTGGCACGCCCGCTGAGTCCCCAGTAACGGATGGACATCGTTCCGGAGAGCTAACAGCTGGCTGCCGTAAAAGAAAGTCATATTATGCCTAACGATTGAGATCGTGATTGGAGGGGGATGCTAAACAGGAGGGGGATGGACAAAGGAACTCACAACACAAACGCCATTGGGGCCGGCTCCTAGCCATATCAGCAAGTGTGTCCAGCCAAACGTGTTCACCGTCCCTAGGACCCCAGCCAGGCAGTCGGGATGCACCAACCGACGCCAACTTCGAAGTGAGGGTTTTCATTTCTCGCGACCAAGTCATCATTTGGCCTCCCCTCCTCCTCTTCCAACCGCACCCACAACGCGCAAACAATGCACGTCGTGGGAGTCGGTGTGCTGGCATGCGCAAGACGTGGCCCAGCCATCGGAGCCTGGTGCGTGATATAATCGTGCTGAGCGGTTCACTCGCTCTTCCTGCACCAAATACGCGACGTCGAACACGCTCATTGCTCATGCGGTGTTCCCACCAGACATGAGCTAAGCTGCGAAGGCAGCGATGATCGAACGTGACGAGTCTCTTCATGTCTGTCGACCTGATGGGCCAGGTTTCACAGCCATATAGGAGAGTTGAACGGACGGCTGCGTTGTAAACTCTGCCCTTGAGGGCGAGAGTAATGTCGCGTCTGCGCCACAGGTGGCAGCGCTCCTACAAATTGGAGATCCCGACGTGAGTTCGTTCTATCGGATTCAGCTTCCATCATCCGGTGAGTCGTGTCCATTTTCGTCGTTCTTTTTATTGCTTTCATGTATGCGAATATGATCGAGCAGCAAACTGGGGAGATTAACACCGTATCTACTAGCTGTTTACCAACATTTTGGATACAATATCCCCAGCTTTGGTTTTTTCAGGCCGAGTCATTTTTTTGTAATTAATCGCATACATAGGGATGTCTCAAAAGTTCATTATGTGATTTCTAAGCTCACACCTGAATTATTACTCCTGGCACAGGATATCCTGAAGACAAGCCCCACATACCAGCAACTAAGGGACTTTTTAATTTGCGAGCTTAACCTTAGTGAGCGTAAGAGAGTGCAACGTCTACTTATAGAAGAACAGTTAGGCGATCGCACTCCTACGCAACTATTGCGAGCCATGCAAGCTCTGGTAGGTGACAGCCCTCCAGAGAATTCCATCTTTAGGCAGTTATTTTTGCAACGGCTCCCTACACACGTACAACAAATACTGGCTAACGCTCATCAGGATACCGACTTGAAAGACCTAGCCCTTATGGCTGATAAAATAACGGAAATACAAGCGCCTACGATCTCAATTTCTTCGCCTCCTATAACTGACGACTCGCTTGTAAAAGCTGTGCACTCCCTGCAGCAGCAACTGGCCTCCATCTCCATCACCCACCGAAATCGTAATTCTCGGTCAGGCCAGCGGCGTATTCGCAGCGCTAGTCGTTCACGTGGCATTTGTTGGTATCACCGTAGGTTCCGTAACAAAGCTCGGAAATGCATAAAGCCGTGTCGATTTTCCATTTCGGGAAACGAACACGCCAGCTCGTAATGGCGACGACGCAAGCTGGCATATGCGAGCCAGGTCGCCTCTTTTATCTGCGAGACGTAAGATCTGGTATGCGATTCCTCGTAGACACTGGTGCCCAAGTCAGTGTGCTCCCTCCACGTCCGGAGGACTTAAGGCACTGCTCTATATACAGCCTGAAGGCAGTAAATGGCACGCCTATCCGAACCTATGGAGAACGGTCCATCACGTTGAACCTTGGTCTCCGTAGGCCTTTTCCTTGGATTTTCATTGTAGCCAAAGTGCCCACTGCCATTCTAGGCCTCGATTTCTTCCAGCATCATGGCATTATTGCCGATCCCAAGCGCTGCCAAATTGATGGCCTAACGCAAATACCTCGGGCTGGTTTTAAAGGGTCCATTATGTCTATGAGTCCGCAGCTTGCCCCACCACGCGCCACTCCAAAGTACTTGGATTTGTTACGAGAGTTTAACAGCTTAACAAAGCCTGGATACCAACCCGGTGATGTCAAACATGAGATCGTACATAGGATAACGACAACAGGTAGTCCAGTCTACCATCGTCCGCGGCGTTTAGCGCCCGATAAACTTTCCGTAGCGAAGGCTGAATTCGACCATATGCTACAATTGGGCATAATACGTCCATCCAGCAGTACATGGGCATCGCCCCTACATATGGTCCCGAAAAACCAGCCTGGGGATTGGAGACCTTGTGGGGATTATCGGGGACTAAACGCTAACACCGTCCCAGACAGGTATCCCATTCCGCATCTCCAGGATTTCTCTTCCTCGCTATACGGAAAACACGTGTTCAGTAAGATAGATTTAGCACGAGCATATTACCAAATTCCTGTCCATCCTCAAGATGTTCATAAGACTGCCGTTACTACACCTTTTGGCTTATTTGTGTTCTTGCGAATGCCATTTGGTCTCCGCAATGCAGCTCAAACATTTCAGCGTTTTATGGATCAGGTTATTCGTGAGCTCGATTTTGTTTTCGTCTACATTGACGATGTCTTGGTTGCAAGTTATAACCATGACGAACACTTGCGTCATCTGCGACAACTGTTCGAGCGATTTGTGCAATATGGGGTGGTTATCAATGCCTCCAAGAGTCCGTTTGGTGTTGATACGGTAGACTTTCTTGGTCACCGTGTTTCCTCCGCCGGAATTACACCCCTACCTGACAGAGTGACAACCATCACTGAATACCCTATCCCCGATTCCATCAAAAAGTTACGTCGGTTTGTAGGCATGGTTAACTTCTACAGACGTTTCATCCCACACTGTTCTGAGTTAGCCCAGCCACTTACCGAGCTACTCAAATTAGATGCCAAATCATTCAGCTTCACGGAATCAGCTAAGCGGGCATTCAGTGATCTAAAACATCAGCTAGCAACTGCCACTCTCCTCGTGCATCTTGATCCGAAGGCTCCGTTATAGTTAACGGTAGACGCTTCAGATGCAGCAGTAGGTGGTGTGCTCCAACAGCGACAGGGAGGTGAATTGTATCCAAATGCCTTTTTCTCTAAGAAACTGCAGCCTGCCGAACGACGTTATAGTACGTTCAGCAGAGAACTTCTAGCTATTTATGTCAATGTGCGTCATTTCCGACATTACTTGAAGGGCGTACATTCACGATATTCACCGATCACAAGCCGCTAACGTATGTACTGCGTTCTGCTTCTGATCGACTTTCCCCACGAGAAACTAGACAATTAGATTATATCTCCCAATTTACCTCCGACATTCGGCATTTGTCCGGTGTGAACAACACCGTAGCAGATGCGCTATCACGGGCGGAAATCAATACCCTCCTTGAGCATTCCCCCATTGATCTTCAAGAACTAGCCACAACACAGCATCAGGATAAGCAGTTTCTTCAACAACTGCGCGAAACCAATCTA